CCCGATTCACTTGAGTTCAAATTCATGGGGGTGTGCAAGAAACTAGTTCAGGCTTTCGCGGGTGATTCAAAAAAGAGGGCGGATATGATGCTGCGTTTGGCCCCCTCTCCTGCGTGATGTGGCTTCTTTTTGGACTAGTAAACGAACAGTTTTTTTGTGTCTTTAGTTGTTCAGCAATGGGACCCATTTGTCCTCTTCCTTTTTTTTTTTTAGTTGATTATTTTATTTTGATCTTTTAGAAAGAAAGAAAAAAAAAAGACCGTCCTCAGTGTCCCATATTTCCCCGTAGAAACCAAAAGCAGAGAGAGAGAGACCAAGGAAAAAGTCGGAGGCCTGCCAAGGACGCCTCAAACTGCGACGGCGTGGTTCAGAGGGCGCTCTAGGGGGAGAATAATAACATCCCGCGGATACACACATAATGTTATGCCGAGCATACATACACACACACACACCCAAGCCACGGTGTTGGTGCTTTGCAAGCAGTTGAATACCAAAATGCATCAACTTTGTCTTTTACCAATACGATATTAGAACGTGTTGGTCGTCTTAATTAGAACCCCAAAAGGACGCAAATCCCTTCCCTACGCGAAAAGAAGCACAAGTCTTGGCTTTTGGTGGCGCGACTGCCAAGGCACTGGATCATCCCAACGTCGGGAGATCCGCACCCTCAAGCGACGATCAATTGGATACATTCAGCATGCCAATCATAACCCTATAATGACTACTAATACTACTGAGAAGCGAGGCTTGGAATATACATGAGCGGCGTAATAATTCTGTTACGATTGAGTTGCGAGATTGCGTTTGATCTAGGTTCAAGCTTCTCTCGCCTCCTTATTGGGCAAATGCCCCCCTGTCCGCATGTAAGACTTTGGCTTCTATGTATCAGTACGCTTGAAATTGCTCTGGCACTGGCCAAGGGGAGGGGGTTTGATCATCGTGCGGCCCAGGTTTGATGCGTTGTTCTCGGATGCAGCCTGCCTTTCAAACGTGGCTCCGGTTGTCGGCACGCCTAGACAATGAGCCCTCTTACCTCGAACATTTCCAAGTACATATCGCCACGAAACGGGCACCACGACACCGCCGCCTTGAACTCGCAGGGGCACGCAGCTGCCTGCATACTGCCATCTGCCATTGATAATTAATGGAGCTGGTACTCCGTTGTCGACTTTGGCCTGAGGCATGCTAGAATTTTTTTTTCTGTCCTAGTCATCCTAGTGTTCCCCTGCTGTTTTGCGCCATTGTGTATATTTGCTTTTGCCGGTTAAACAAGCAGCATGTGCGATCTGCTTGACAACGGTGCGCCACACAGAGACTTTCTATTGGTGTTGAGCTCCTGATATGTTGGTACTGTTATGCTTCCTGTTGAAGCAGGCCCTACCGGCGCTACGAGCGGGGACCAAGCTCGGTACATGAATACCCGGACAGATTCGATGCTCTATCAGTAACGTTAGCTGAGCAGTAAGAAAGAGCATGGAGAATGGCGAAACTATGATAAATGGAGATCATTGCGCGTCGTCCCCTGCCATGTGGAGCACAAACAAGTGAGGGCACCACTTAACTGAGTGCATGCGAGCCCTCTTTTCAAGCCGTGCCGTGGTCGTGGTGCGAGTCAGGCTGCCTGTTTAGCAGCATCCATTTGTACATTGCAATCAATCGCCCTTACCAGACTTTGGTAAAGACCAAGAAAAGGTCGACCGCAATTGGTGCACATGTGCTCCGTACCTCATCCGCATCTGAACATCCCGGCTACGCACTGTGCCCAAGGGACCACAGTGGGCTGCCCCGAACCAGGTCCGCGCGAAAGATGTCGCTGCAATTTCATGCTGAGACGAGGTATGCAGCCGAGATGCGAGCACTGCCCAGTGCAAGAGATGTATGCCGCGACTCATGCGACGGCGGAGAGATTGCGGGAAACGGAGCAGGGCGATCAGAGTCGGCCGGGTGCAACGGTCGAAACTGCCCCAGGTCTTTAAATGGAAATTTATCCGAAAGCGTGGCTGGATGAAACTCAAAAGGCCAACCTTGGTATCAAGCTTGCACACAGACGTAATCGTTGGCCTTTGCGCTGCTCCCAAGCTCGCTTGCTCTTGTGCTGACTTCCGGGGTTGCTATCTAGCAGTTCAGCAGTCAACTAGTAGTAGCCTAGTTGGTAGTTGTGCTTCATTTCTTGCGCATTTCAGCCCATACCAGTAGAGAATTGTCTAATGATAGCGCCGACTAGCTGTCTAGCACTGAAAATGTGCCGGACACATGTGCCGTATGCCGGCCGAGCGCGAGAGCCGCGGGGTCGGTCCTGACAGTACAGTCACGCCCAGTCCACAGAAAATCAACAGGCTATTCGCAGAAACGAATGGCGGATTGGGCGAAAAATCACAGTCATTTGTCATTTGCTCTTTGATTCGTGCTAGTGGGTTACCACCAACCAATGGTAGCTCGCGCGGGCGGCGGACCAAAACTGGACGACTCCGCCATCGGACAGAAATTGAAGCTGGTTTCTTGGTCTCGTTTGCTCTACAACTGCGCGTTTTCGTCGTGATTTTGCATCGGGACGTGCTGACGAGTATAGATGTAGATGTACCAATTTATCTGGACATGCGGACGATGCCGTCTCGAAGCGAACCCTGTTGAGTGACAGAGGGGAAAACACGGCCTGCACGAATCCCCCCTTTCCCTAAGAGAGGTGAGAGGGCCAGTGACGAAATGCAGCAACGTTAGCAGCGAGACACTTTTGGACAGGATTTGAAAGGGGACTGATGTCTCCATGTTGTGCGTTTCAACTGACTGGATTGGGCTTACCGCGTCTCCATTGAGGGAGGGAAAAGGACATGGGTGGGATGAAGATGGAGGAGGAGTTGAAGGAACTTGGGACCTCGAAAGACAAGGTTGCAAAAGGGGTTTAGCCTGGTTACCTGACGAGGGTGTGGCTTAGGCGTTGCTGAGCCCCATATAAACTTGAGTGGACCCCGACCTTGTGGCGTCCTGTCAGTAAAGATGGGGGGGGGGGGGGGGGGTGTCTGGCACTCTGGGTGTTAGCTTGGCTCGAAATATGGGGCCACCAAGTCAAGGAAGGCCCTGCCTGGCAGGTTGGCAGGTACTTGATCATTAACAACATCACACAAACGTGACATGATTTAACACGAAAAGGCTTGACATGGTTTATAGCTGAACTGTTGGTTATTGCTTGTAAACAGCGAGCATAATCCAGCAATACCCAGTAAGCCTACCAGCTAGACGCACAGAGGGCAAGCCTTGTGGGCACGCCTTCAGAAGAACTTCTAGTGGGGTCTTTCAACATTGGATGCTGCTGCTGCAAGTGCTGATATCTTGCTCGGCTCAGGCATCCCGTGCAAGTCGGCAATGCGGCAGAACTACCAATAGATCGAGTACAAAATCAACAAGAACTGATGATAGAAGGGTTTGCTAATCATGCCGCACGTCCCGCCTTTACCTATGATTTGCTGCCGAGTGGCAACTCAGTAGAAAGCTGCAGTCTACCGTCCCTGCCGTTCTGCCGCGCTATCAAACATTGTTCTCTTTGCTACAGCTGCATGTTTTGAGCACTGAATAACGAGTTCATAAATCTTGTGATAGAACCACCCGCTTCAATTCGACAGCCAGCATTGACCAACATTACCTAAAGTGGTCTACTTCGCTAACCGGAAAGCCATGTCATAATAACGCATAGACAAACAAAAAAAAAAAGTGACACGATGCCGGCAGAGGCAGGGCATGGCAGGGTTTATCCAGCTGGCTGGGAGGCGCGAGAGAACAAGCATCAGGCTAGCGCACCGGGGGGGGCGGGGGAGCCAATGGAGATATGGATGCTGTCCATCCGGCTCAGGGTCCGCCGCCTGCCCCTCGCAATTGGCTTCGCTTTTGCGATCAAATCCGATCGTAACCAGTTGGGTGGTGGGCGTTCGAGTATACAGTGCGATACAGTGTCACGCCAGCCTTTCTTTCAACAGCAATGGCCACAAAGGGAAAGGGGGAGGGGGGGCGGCCAAGGCGCATCTTATCTATGCATGCAGGCAGACTGCTGCTTGCATGAGCTGGAGAATGCGCCGACGTCTTGTGCATGGCCTGTTTCTCTTGTCATGGTTTGTCCACGCGTTCAACGAGACAGACATTGCATGTTTCCCATAACTCGCCCATGTTTATGTTGCCCTCGTTATTGTCGTCGTTTTCTACACCGCTTGCCATTCGACGCATGCACGTTACTCATTACACGGCAGCGCGATACCCAACTACAACTTTGTTTGCGGGAGGGAAACAAATAGCTGCCATTTTTCTGCGAATTTAATCACAATGGCCGGGCGTTGCAAATTTGCCTCCCCGGTTCCTTGATGTTTTTTAATCGTTCATGGGCGGCAAGTCTCCCTTCATTCCATATCATATATAGGATTATTTCGATGACGATCGTCCTGAAAGCTTTGCCGTTCCGTGGCCGCCGCCCGACGCTGCCGCCGCCGCCGCCACGTTTTTTTTTTTTTTTGCGGAGGGACAATCTTTTGAGCTTAACCGAGAAGTCGTTCCTGTAGATTATCAGACAGCGTCCCTAAGCTAAGGGGGAGGCGGCGCAAGTCGCCAAGTACCAATGATATCACTAGGCAAGAATTAACAAATTGCAGAAAAACATAAGAATTAAAACGAGGCAATTTGCTAGCACTGCATGCATACAAACATACACATGCATTCATCCACGTCACAGGGCAGCCGCTGCCCATTATCACGGTTCTCTCTCCCTGTTAGGTGGTGGCCGCCACATACGCCACCATCTCCGGGGAGCACACACACACACAGACTTGTTTCTTCCAGGTTTGTCGCAAATACCCGCCTTGTTTTTTTTTTTTTTTTT